CGGCTGGTGGGGGTGATGGTGCGGCCCCGCCGCGGACGGCGGCGGGCCGCCGCGCAGCAGCAGGCGCGGCGCCGCGGCCCCCGGCGGCGCCGCCGGGTGGCCCAGGCTGCGGAATGGGAACCCGAGCTCCAATAAATCGTAGTAGGCGCGCGCCACGCCCAGACCGAGGCCCGCCGAGCAGGCCGCAAAATAGGCGAGCGTCGCCCGCGACACCATCGGCGTGGCCCCCACCATTCCGTGCCAGGTCACGCGCGCCGGCCGCGCCCGGCACTGCCCGCGGCGGCCGCCGGGCCGCTGCCGCGGTGCTTGCGGTGCGTCTGGTGGTGGCGCGCGCGCATGCGCGTCTCAGGGGTGCGGCCACATCGCAAGGGTGGCGGCGCGTGCGCGCTTTTCTGGGCCTTTTTGCTGTGACGAGAGCTCCTGCACCTCCCATCATGCAGCTGCTAAACCATTCAATTGCGCATCCACATACGCAATCGAGTTGCCACGTGTGTGCTTCTTGCTCACCTGCTGGCGCTCCACCGTGGAGCGCCCGTTCTAAGTCGCCTGCACTGGGAGTCGCGTCCTGCCTAAAAAGACGTATACAATACCCCAGCACTACAATGTACACGTGATGGTTGGGGCATCAAACCATTGTCACCGTGGGGCTGTATGCGAGTCACTGCGAGTGACACGGGCTGGCGGTGGACAAACGCGCGACAGAAAAGGCGTGCAAAATTGCGGCAAATTGTTACACGGTGTTGAATTCTCAATGACACCGACATGTCGCGCGCGTGGGCGCATTGACCGGTCCATGCACAGCGCGCGATGCGTTCAGATGCACAGGATTGCCGGCAAGAAAAGCGCAGGACATCGATACATCGCAGCATCATCCCCTCACCCCTCCACGCTGCCGCCGCCGCCGCCGCCAGACCCGCCGCCGCCAGACCCCGCCGCCGCCGCCGCTGCTGCCGCCTGCGCCCGCCGCTCCTCCTCCTGCACCTTCACCCAGTGCGGCTTCGGGTAGGCGTCCCCGAGCCACTCTATCCCGTACGGCCACGCCGCGTCCCGCCGACCGCCCGTGAACACCGACAGGCCCGCCGTCGGGCCGCCCGCGAGGAAGGCCGCCCGCTCGTCTTCCGACATGGGCCGCGGCGGGTAGGCGTCGAACACGTCCCGCAACTCGCTCCCCAGCACCTCTTTCTCATCCGCCAGCGCGCGGATACCTGAAAAGAATACAGAGTTTCAAATCGTATTTGTGTAAGTGAGGTTTTGCCGCACCCCTCGCATCAACCCCTCTTACGGCCGACCGCCACTACTCCTCTGCGTCTCAACACACACTCGTTCACACACACACGCACACGCACACACACAAACACACACACACACGCGCCAACTCACACACACAACCATCCCTACCAGCGCACCCCTGGCGCTCACGGCACACAGCACACCCCTCCTCTCCTGCAGCCCCCTCCTCTGAGACCAAGAACACAAGTTCCCCCTTTTGTCACCGACCCCTCGCCCCCCAAAAGCCCCACAGCCCTCACCTGCCCAGAGCGCGTCCCTGTTTTCCTGCAGCATGACCTGCACGTCGCGGTGGCACGACACGATCACCTCGCGCACGGCGTCTTGGTACCTGTTTTGGGTGGGGATGGCAGGGCATGGAGTGCGTTTTTCAGGTGTTGCCATGATGTGTGTGTGTGTGTGTTTTGTGGATGTAGAGGGGGCAATTGTGTTTGTACGTATGTAAATGAGAGTGAGTGTGTGTGTGTGTGTGTGTGTGTGTGTGTGTGGTTGTGTGTAAACGAGAGAGAGAGAGAGAGAGAGAGAGAGAGAGTGTGTGTGTGTGTGTGTATGTGTGCGCGTGCAAACTGCATGTAGTCGCATGCGTTACTTCTGAACAAAGGCTGCCCTTCATGAAAAGTCTCACATCCTCTTCAGGCATCTCCTCTCACCCTTGACCTGCTATTGCCGCCTCGTGTACCGCCCCCTGCGTTCACCCCACCCCACCCTGCCCTCCAAACCATCAGATAAAAGCGCTCCACACGACGGCCGGAAAATGCAGGGCGCGTCCCGAACCCGGTCAAACTTGGGTCAAACCTGTGCCAGGTGACGTCGGAGGGGTCCTGGGGGTCGAACCGCAGCTCCTCCACGCGCGTGGGCCAGTCGGCTGTGGCGTCCATCGCATCGACAGAGATGACCTTGGGGGGTTTGGGGTGAGGGTGGGGGTAGCGGGTCGGGGGTGAGGTGAGGGTGACGCGACCGGGGTGGGGTGGTCGTCGAGAGTGGGAGTGCTGCGCCGCGTGGCAGTCACGGAGGGACGGCTCGACTCCCTCCCCGGCGGTTGGGCCGTCGAGAGTTTTCACTGGTGAAGCAGCGCCATGCGCAGCTCGCGCGGTCCGGGGGGCAAGCGCGGCAGCGATGATGTCAGAATGACGTCACTGTATGTCAGCCGAAAACGGGCGCACCTTGCGCGGCCTGTTGCTGCCAACCGCAAAGTCGTGGCTGTAGGGGGTCTTGGCCCACATGGTCAGCCCAAAATCACTCA